AGAAGACTGACAGAATCAAAAGAAATTATAGAAATTGGCACCTTTTTATAGTGTTGCATTCTATCCAAAATTAAAATTTCAGTTTAAATGATTGGTTTATATTGCAAAAGATTTTTTTTCCGTTCTGTGTCGGAGATTTTTATTTATCACAAATATTTTTTGAATTTCATCTGATTCATTGATATGGAAAAAAATGTTTTATAGTTGCATTATAATTCACCCATAGAGAATAGTTGATAGTAAGATGCAAGTGCTAATAGGTGAATATGTCAAAAAGTAATATATACAGCTAATTCTCAAAATTCTGTAGTGAAGATAATCTTTTGCATTTTATGTATTTGCCTTTTCAAATTTTTTGGCCATATTGCAGAAGGACCTCGGGGAATTTTGCGTCGGATGAGGAGCCAGTTAGCAGAAGATGGCTGTCCAGAGTCTCAGCTGATAATTGGAAAAACTCTTTTAGAACAAATCAGTGATGGTAAATTCTATTATCATAATTTTGATTTTTGAAAATAATGTAATCTGAAAAAATAAAGACTTAATGGCTATGAAAGAAAGTGAATTGATACTTCCTTTTCTTAAACTTCCTTTTCTTTGTGTTGAATTGTGTAGTATGATTTTATAGAAATGTTTTCTTTTCTTTATATAATTGCAATTAAATTTTTAGAGAATGAGATTGATGAAGAAGGAGCGAGACTTGCTGTGTACTGGTTGAGTCGTGCATCCTTCCAGGGAAACACTGAAGCCACAAGACTCTTACAGGACTGTATGGATAAAAATGTTGGTGAGTATGCTCTCTCTCTCTCTCTCTCTCTCTCTCTCTCTCTCTCTCTCTCTCTCTCTCTTTCTCTCTCTCTCTCTCTCTCCCTCCCTCCCTCCCTCCCTCCCTCCCTTCTCCCTCTCCCCCCTTCTTTCCTCCCCCTTCCCCTCCCCTTCCCCTCCCCTCCCTCCCTCCCTCCCTCCCTCCCTCCCTCCCTCCCTCTCTCCCTCCCTTCCTCTCTCCCTCCCTTCCTCTCTCTCTCTCTCTCTCTCTCTCTCTCTCTCTCTCTCTCTCTCTCTCTCTCTCTCTCTCTCTCTCTCTCTCTCTCTCTCTCTCTCTCTCTCTCTCTCTCTCTCCCTCTCTCCCTCTCTCCCTCTCTCCCTCTCTCCCTCTCCCTCTCCCTTCCTCTCTCTCTCTCCCTTCCTCTCCCTCTCTCCCCTTCCTCTCCCTCTCTCTCTCTCCTTCCTCTCACTCTCTCCCTCACTCTCTCTTCATCCTTCCCTCTCTGTCTCTCCCTCTCTCTCCTCTCTCTCTCCTCTCTCTCCTCTCTCTCCTCTCTCTCCCTCTCTCTCCTCTTTCTCCTCTCTCTCCTCTCTCTCCTCTCTCTCCTCTCTCTCATTTCTCTCCCTCTCTCTCCCTCATAGACTCTCTCTCTTTTATTATTTTTAATTACATGTAAAGCCAACTAATGACAATTATACCTTTATTAAACAACTCTGCTTTTATGAGGCACATCACTCTTGAACCTCCTATAATGCCTTAACTTTAATTCTAACTGCTTTAGTGTTTTATAACTTGGTCTTTATATCTTGCAGGGATTTGTGAACACAACTATCATGAAGTCCGTGAATGTCTTGCAATGGATCAGCAAGAAAAGTTGGCTAGAAGGGCCGCCCGCATGCTTTTCACCAGGTCAGTATTTATAAGGGACAGGCAATAAGATGGATATTACTATTAATTCCATTACCTTTGGAAGTAATCAGAGCACAGTATTAGTTTTCAATACAAGTTTTGGAAAACAAATGGTGTTGGTCAGCTTTGGAGGGCTTTACCTCAAAAAGTATTCATATAATTCCAACCCTGTAGAAATGCAGAATAAAGAGTAGCCCTCATTGTCATGGCATGTCTCATAGAGTGAATAATTTTTGTGATCCCCCCAGAAAGAAGCCTTTTGGAGGGGGCACATGACATATGCAAATGAACAATAATAAGAGATGGTAGTGAGCCTTAAAACTTTCCAAATTAATAGATATTTTTTTTAGCTTCTTTGTGTGTTAAAAAGATTTGATGAATGTTATAACATCACATCACATCATTCAATTGGAATCATATAGTGTTCTCAATTCATAACACTTGTTTAGTTACAGCTGTGAATGACCATTTGATATCTTTAGATAGAAAACAATTTTGTATGCCATATATCATTACATGATATATGGCATGGTGTCAAGTAGAGTCAAGTTTACTGTAACATTCCCCGTTATTTCAGAAATGCTTTGTGTTTTTTATAATATAGAAGCTTTTGGCAGTTGCTAAAAAAAAAAATAATAATGATAATAAACCCCCTTTCACCAAGTAGATCCAACTGATTTCAGATTTTCCATGAATAAACAGACAAATTTATTTATCACAGATATCATAAAGTTTCAAAGATTTCACATGCTTGCATGTCTCTTCACTAAGAGTGTAGCAATTTAATCATCAAAATATTTCAACAACTTCTGTTTCCTTTGGTAAATAAAATAAATGGTAAGAGAGGATGTAATGAAATTGTTGGAAGTCAATTTTCAGTATGAATATAGAAATGATTGACATATTTCTCTTGGATCGTGCATATATAGATTGAAGTTGTAGGGCAATATTAATAGCAAATAGGAATAACTAAAATTTATAATGATGTTATTTTATATATATTTTTTTCTTTTCTTTTTAAAATGCCAACAGTGTGAGTGATGGAAATGACTTCATCACCAGCAGCAGACTTGGTGTGAAGATGCAAGAAGTTTTAGCAGGAACTGAACAACCTGATGATTCTGGGGTAAGAACTGTAGGTCCTATCTAACTGAAAATACAAATTAAGAGATAGATGTATGTAATGTTGTCCTTTTATGCAGATTAAGGTTAAGGTCCTTTGCGAAGATATTTCTGAGTGCCATTGTTTATGTATTCTTGTTCTAATCTTATTTTATGACAGGTCATAGTATTGATAAAGATTATACTGAAGTAGAGGAAAAAGTATGTTTTTGAAGATTATTCATTAGAGTTATTGACCTTTGAGTGATGAGATTAATAAGAGAGAAGAACTCAAATGAGTACAGAAGTTTTTATTTCTCAGTGAATTAGGTATTACACATATGTAATATGACAGAAAAGATACTAGAATAGATGGCAAAATGATGTATGTGCTAGTAACTCTAATCCACTACTTTTCAGGACTCACAACCTGTAGACAGCAACAGTGACTTGGAAGAGCGATATGGAGGAGAGAGATTTAGTGAAGAGCACCTAGTGTCTGCTGCTGTAATATACTGCAGTGGCCGAGTTCCTCCCATTCATCATTTCATGAATCAAGTCTCACAAAATGCGCATTCACACCAGATTCTTAATGGTTTACTTTTGCCAATGAGAATCTTGAAAAAAGTTTACCAGAGTTGTTTACAGTTTCTTGGTGTTACATTTACAAATTACGTGAAGTATCTGTTGAATATCTTGACACCATTTACTAGTACACTTATTGTATGTCTAATATCAGGTTTGATATCATTAGTAGGTGTCAACAGAGCATTTTCAGCATTCCCTATTTTTATATCTTGTATATCCTTGTTGGTAATGATGGTGGCCACAGCACATTTACTACTGAATAGAAAACACTTTGACAGCTTTCATTCATGGTCTATCCTTTTCTCACATTACTGTCCAGAACTTGACATTGAACATGCTGAAGGTAAATTCAAAGCAAGATGTTGGAAACCATATGTTGCTCTTTTTTTATCAGTAGTTATATATTTAGGAACTGTTCCATTAGTGTCACCTAAGCTTGTGATTTGCTTTTTGCCTGTGATGTATATTTTCACAATTTTAACATTATTCTTAGTTCCAGAAAAGTTAAAGGTCTGGCAATTTATATCTCTGAGTATATATGTTATGGCAGTGACTCCAAGTGTGCATGAAAGTGTCAGCCAGTGGCTATTTACCCTTGCAAAAGGAACTGGTGCAGAAGAGTTACTAGTTGAACAGCATATTGACATTGGATGGCATGTAAAATTGCATTTAGGTATTGGACCATTCCTGCATCTCATGTGGTGTAACTTGCAAATACTCATATGTGTTACTAATAAACTAAGTGTGCTTCCACCTCATCTTGTTACTATTACATGGTGCCACTTGGCAGTAATGGCTTCTTACAAGATAGCAGAACCATCCAACCTTTTATATCCTTTAGCTGCATGGTCACTGATAATGATGTTGCCAAGTATAGCTTCTCTCTTCTTTCTTTTTGGGCCCGGACTAATGTTTGCTTATGTATGTCTTCATGTAGGGATCGATGGTCAGTTAGCACTCTTTGTATTCGGAGCTTGCATCGTTACCACTTGCATTCTGAAATTATGGTTTCCCAAACTTTTAATTTTTGTCAAGCTAATCATAACTATTGGGACTGTAATTGCTATTTTACATCCAGATCTGATTTTGGCAGTTCCAAAGGCAGTTTATTCAAATTTACAATGGGAGAGTTACAGAAATGTTTGTGTACCTTCAAAAGATTCAGCAGCTCTTACTGTTCATGGTTGTCTTCCTTTACAGGGAGTCTTTGTAAAATGGCACGGATCAGTGTCAGCAGTGAACATTGTTAGTGTGTTCAATTTACCCGAAATGGCCTTATCAGTTCTTCCTTATGTTCTTCGGAAACCCTTAAGGTGTTATTTTGGTAAAACGTTATCCCAGTGTCCATCATCCAAAGAAAAGACCTTACAGATTGAACGATGCCACATGATTCATTCCGTTTTAGGAGCAGATGCTTGCACTCTAGACAGCTGGAACGAATACACGTTTGAAGTTACGGTAGCAATGAGTTCCTCGGTGTGGAAATTTGGAGCTGAAGGATCACAAGTGACTTTGCATGCAGATAATGCTTTTCAAAAATTCTTATTAGGACTACAAATGGATGATGAAATTGAGTTTATAGGTTCTCTGTCAAATGGTATCGGTACTTCCCAACCAAGTTTACATATGACATCAATTTCCTGTATAAACTGTAAAGTAAAACTGCCGTCTGTAAAGAAAATTTATTTTCATATTGACTTTGATGTATGGGTTATTCCAGCCTTCATTTTTAACTTCTTCATGGGACCAACGCTTACTATCTAATTTGTGTGTGTGTGTGTGTGCGTGCGTGCGTGCGTGCGTGCGTGCGTGCGTGTGTGCGTGTGTGCATGTGTGTGTGTGTGTGTGCGCGCGTGCACGCGCATGCATGTGTGTATGTGTGTGCGCACGTGCATGTGTGTATGTTTACATAAATCTAGAATTGCAATATGTAATTTTAGGCGAAAAGAAATATTTAAATGGTCAGTAGATTGCATTGAATTTGGAAATTGTATTTGAACCAGATGTTTTATTTGTAGATTACATATTACTAAAAAGTACTAATATTTATTTAACAAAGTTAGCCATGGTTTAATGTTCCAAATTCTGGTGATTGCAAAAACACACCACCACCACCACCTGCTAACAACAGAAAAAAATACTGAAGTTATAGTTTTATAATGGAAAAAATAATTTGTTAATTTTGCATATTTAGCCAGTAGTTAAATGCAGAGAATGTTTACGGGTTTGCATGTATGTAATATTGAGAGTTCTAAATGCTGCCCTCTATGGTACAAAAAAAAAAAAAAAAAAAAATACAGAAGTTACAAAATTTGCCTTGTCTATGTGGTTTATACACTAAAGAGTCCTTGAGAAGAGGATCCCAAATATGAGGTATATATGAATTTAGGTTCAAGTTCAGAAGTATCCATTTATGTTACTTCATGTCATTTTGCAGTCTATGCAGTGTTGCAGGCTCATCCAATCATGGAAGAACGTGAGGAGTTTTGGTGAAGGTTTCTAAATATTTCTGGATATTTGATTGGAGATGAATGTTGTTAGTATAATTCAGGTATTTACTTACGTTGTGTCAGTTTTCATTTGATTATATGTTGTTCTATGAAGTATTGTTAGCTATGTGTTTGGTGGTGAATATTGAAGTAATACATGTTTATTTGTTTTTATGTCGTAAATTATGATTATGTTTGTCTATGCAAGGAAACAATCATCCATAATGAATTGCTCATGTATGTGGATCCCAGATTACTGACCAGAAGTCTCCTACTCCGTGGACCAGAATATAATTTTTGATTGTTATAGATTTATTCAGCTTATTAATCAAAGTACAAGGAAAGGTGTTATAACAATTTTAGATATATTCTATCACAAAAATTTAGAGTATAGAGTATAGATGTTTTTATGGCATTGATTCTGAAATGTACATGTTAATCAAGTGTATAAATATGGTTTCTGTTGGTTTTATACTCTTAAATTAAATAGGAAAACATATCTCTTCAGAAACTGTTCATTGATGATAAGTGTGTGCTACAAAAGGGCTGGCTTGAGAGGAAATCAAGATGCATACAGCGGTCACTTTTGAACACACTGTTGACAGATAATATGCTATCATGTCATAGGGAATAATCACAGATGCTGGGTAATGCCTCATCACAGGCAGTCTGTGCTAATGGAGGGAATGAGATTGAGCCTACAACAAGCCAGACTATTGCCCAGGCACACAAATGTAAACCTATTCTTACCTTACTTCATGAAAATTTTTACCCTGTGTTATCTGGTTAATGAGGAAGCCTGGTGATGATGATCTCAACTGTAGATATTCTTGCCGTGTTGAGCAGAGTATTAAGAGGTGCTCGTCAATTTATGTACTATATTATAAGTTGCACATTTTGATATATTGATAAGTAAAAATGATAGGTATGGTTTCATGAGAGTTGTTTACAATTGTAACTGTTTTCAATCCTGTATTTTTTTGTGAATTTTTGTTGTGCACTAATGGCTCCAAACATGTGCTTAGCTAACAGGGAATCAATTATCAGGCCCTATGTGACCTGATTTCCCTTTTCCATGAATTTTCAAGAATATTTCCTTTCTAATGATATTAATATCCATGCTTTTATCATTATTAATGACATTATGATTTTTAAGTAATGATAAACTATGAAAATTCTCTCCTTCCTTGATGACTTAGTACTACTGGGGCCATCTATGTGTAACTACAGTTAAGAAACTATAATTACAGTGAATGTGGTATGTATGTCATGTCATCTGCACAAAGTAGGCTAAAGGGTTTAGGGTTTACCAAATCATGACACTGATATTCAGGTGAAATATAGGTGTTTGTGAAGATGATCCTGATAATAAAAATAACCTCTGAATACTCTTCTGATGCATCAGATTTCAAGATATTTTTGAAAATAGGTTTTTAATGCTGCTTGACAGAGATCTGAAGCAAGTAAGTTATAAGAAATGAATATTTGATAACTTGAATGTCTTAATTTAACTATAAATTGAGTAAGAAGCTTTTCCTGATCATTTTGTAAAGAAATAATAATGCAGCTTTGAGAAATAGTGATATATCAAAGTAGGCAAACTACTAACATATGCTGCATTGGAAATGAAACTTGGTAATATAATTTTGTAGTTTTTTGTTCATGAGGTTACTGCTTGGATGGATTTCACTGCCTAAAATCTGTGATATACCAGTGATTTGCTCATGCTAAGAAGAATATAACATTTTGTTTAATATTTTGTACACTTACATTAAAAAGATTCTCAGCTTTTAGCTTCAGGCAACAGCTGTTTTCTGTTATGTTGTGTTGTTTTGGTTTCTTTAAGTGAACGGGAGAAGAAAAATGATTGTTCTGTGAAAAGTATGGTGGTGATTGTATTTACAGTATTTTCTCTCACTTTGATATGTGATAATGATTGTATTTTTTAAAAAAGATTTTGTAATATTGAATTATGTTCCCAGTATGATATTAAAAGTACTAAGTTAATGTAAATGACTTTTATGTAATTGTAATTGTTGGATATGGAATAGTTCCAGATACATTGCCAGAATTTTGTTTCCATAAAATACTGTACTTTGGGTTTTTATAGTGTTAATTTTCTTGATATTGTAAGTCACGTCTAATATTTTTACTATTGCTTTCTGAGGTATTGGATATAATTTATTCCTCTTACTCTTTCAGTTCACTTGATTTATGTTCTATATGCTTTAGTAACCATCACTAGTCACTTGATAATAAAGCTGTGGCTTTGTTTTTCTCCTTTTATTACATTCTGCAAACATGTGTTTTCTACTTGGAAAGAATTATTGAAAGAAAAGTCAAAATCATATTCAGCATTCTGTTTAAAAGATAAAGGCACAGGTTTGCCACTGGAACTTTTTTCTGCACTGAATACGTCTTGCATACACTTCACCATTGGGTATTTTAGGTTACAGTGCTGCCTGTTGTATATATGTTGTATATCCATTCTTGAACAGATTGACATTCCTTATCTGATTTAACATTCACTTATCTATAAGCTGTTTAGTATAATGAATTAGCAAACCCTTGTTGCCTTGTGCAGATATAATTGCTGAGATGGTGAAAAATTCTCTTTTCTCTTATGACATAGTCAAAATTGTCCTCATGGAGTTCAAAACAGGTGAGAAAGTGAAGAAAAAATTGGTGTGCTTAAAGGATACAAAAGAATGGATAAGACTTTTTTAGCCCACCCCTCTTTTAACTCTTTTCTTGGGAGATTAAAAAATAAAAAGATTCGTTCAGACTATTCTGCAGTGAGTGCCTGGCATTCCAACATTGATAATTACAAGTCTTGTCTCTCTGTTCTGGCTACCATAATTGAGCTGTAAAGAACAGATAGTGAGAGTTCTTGATAAAATATACATCTTTGTTTAGGGACATATGAAATTTCACATGGTATTTTGCTGAGAATAATGTTGATATAAAATGTATTAAATTGGTCCTCCTCTCTCTTAGTATGTGTTAAAACCACCACAGCCACTTCAGAGTTATGTATTAAAACAAGAGCAATCAGAGAAATGAGGACTCACATTTGTATTTTTATAGGTCAACATTCAGAAAATATTGCATTTTAACAACGAAAAGGCTTTCTCATGTAATTCCAATGGCAGCTCCACAAGCTGGATGCCTATCAACTTGGAGTTCGTAATGAGAACCATACCTGGAAGGGGTCCAAGAACACCAGAGTTTTCCCCTATTGCGGGCCAACCGCTTCACATTCACGTGAGGAACTTGGCATTCCCAAGGACTGCCAGAGTCACAGCAGTAACATCATTTTGGGGAAAGACAAGTGAGGAAGCAGACAGGACAATGACGGCAGTGACCCAGGTTTTTGTAGCCCAGAAGGAGAAGCTTGAACTCCTTGGACTTAACTCCCACTCCAACTTTGTGCCAGGGTTAGATGAAGTTCCCACAGTCAAAGAGAATTTTGCCTTAGAGTTCTCGAATTCCGACGTGTCTGAAGTCAAATACGGGGGCAGCTGACTCTTGCATGATACTGATGCAACCGATTCAACTGCTACCCAGTCTAAGCATGCTAAAGTAAAACATTGGTCGTTTCTCCATTATGAGTGCTATATTCAACGTGATGTACCATCTAGAAATACAAACGTTGCCATGCTACAAGAGACCTTTACAGTCTGCTTTTCTGCTTCATCCTTTTTGTATTGCCGAGCATGACAGGAATCAAAGAGTTACTGACCCTGCCCAAAGCGGCAATTCCCTCCTCTTTGATAGCCAGCCTTCCTCGTTTTAAAGTACTTAATCTCTTGTAACTGAAATTTGTTTGGCAGGAGTCGTCCCCAAGGTGTATAGAATGCATTTTATGCTGGTCTGTAAGAGCCCAAATATTAGCCTAATGCAACACAGGACCTTGGTATCACAGACAGAGATACATCGCTCACCACCCCATCTTGTCTCCTCGAGGAGCACACACGGCGTGTCAGAGAATAGATCTCATCTTTGTCACTACGGCTCAAGACGAGAGAATGGTCTGCAGACGAGACTGTCATTGCGATCACTGTGGAATAACCATTGATTGCAACATAATCCAAGGTAAGAGGAGGAGGGAAGATTTTCAGACCGCTTTGAAAATTAGATGGAACCCCTG